AMAAAAAAAAAATTATCTTTTGCCTCTAGTCTTTGGCTGAAGTTTACATGAAGAAGGAGACAAGCCTGAAACTTAAAAAGTAAAATCTTTTCTATCAGAGGAGAGCAAACCAAAGCATTCTGCATGAAATACAGAATCTACCTCAGCACTCTCTCCTTGCAAGAGCAGAAAAATACCTCTGAAGCTGTTCTGATGACGCTGAGTTATTTCAGAGTACTTCCCAAATTAATTTTGCTTTTTAGACAGTATTTTAGTAGGTACATTCACCCATAACACTAGCTTCCAGCATATTGTTAAAAAGGTTTCCCTAGGACTGGACACCACTCTTCACCTACAGATCATAAAACACATTATGCCAGAAAGAAAAGCACACTTCACAGGCCAGTCATAAGGCAAATGCAATGCAACAGGAGTAGTAAGAAAAAAAAACCCCACACCTCAATTCTCTCCAGAGTTTTTGGCAACTACAAAGCCTCTGAAATTGAGACCATATTTCACTGAAAAAGCTGGCATAATTTTTTAGAGTAACAGTGTTTGAGAGGCATTCAGACAATGCCCTTAATTTGCTTTAACTTCCAGACAGCCCTGAATTGGTCAGGCAGTTGGACCAGATGATTAAGTCCCCTCCAACTGAAATATTCCATTCTATTCACATGACATCAGACTTTGTATGATCTACACTTAACATTTTACAGAAAAAACTACACAGCTTTGGAAAGAAACAAAGAATTAACATCTATACCTGTAGTGACAATTCCACTAAATTATGCTTCCATCTTCTGAGGGCTGGTGCCTTTAGRAGGTTGTATTAGATATGCAAGGTGCTTTAGAGGTAAATAATTAACCAACACATTTGGAAACATCTGCAGTATTTTGCTGTTACAACAGAAAGTAAAGCCCCTGTTTAAACAGCTTCTTGACAGGCAGAGTAGCTCTCTTTTCAAGAAAGCAAAGAAACCAAAAGTTCTCCTTCCTTTTTCAGAATAAAKGTCACTAAATGTGACTTCCTGTTCTCCAGTATTCTGCAGTAAGAAACAAAAAAAATAAGAGCCATATTCAGAAATAAAAGAACTCTTTCCAAGAAGTTCCTGATCAGATCATTGTGTCCATTAGGATGCAGGAATGGAGTCTCTAATCACCCACAGATGTCTTTTAAACAGCATCTGACCAACTTCCTTTTTCTCTGCCAAAGTACAACTCAGGTCATACCATTGGACAGCAATCTCAGCACAACTCAGCTGCTGAGGAAGCACATTAATACACTTTCCAGTGGGACTCTATACATGACAGTCCAAAAATATGTTTTGAGACTATCAAAAGAAAGTTGAACCACAAATAAATCTAATCCAATCCTCCTATACTTGTTTCAGATCATCAGACACAGAGATGGAAGAAATATCATCTTTTAAAATCATAAAGATGCTCGAAAATTGCTTCCCAGATCCTACTTTTGTGGATATTTTAATGTATGAATTACAGTTGATCCACCTTTAGGAAAAGGCTTAAAGCATTTAAGGACCACAAGTTTAAGTGCTTGACTTTTAATGTTCTCTGGCGAATACTGTAACCAAATCCTGCCTATGTTCTACTCAGGTGTGGCACTGCAGCTTCTGTGTCTCACTGACCCATTCTGAATTTTTGTAAGAGTCTGTTACATCCCACAAACCTACTATTCTGCTGTATTTCAGCATCTTCTTTAATATAAAAACCCACTTCAGTTACCACATTAACAACAGAGACTGACAGTTTCACAGCAATTCAAAACTTTAAAAATTTACTCTTAACTGGACCAGATTAACTTGGCATATTATGTCTGTAAAGCAGCACGAGCTCTGAGCTCTACCTACCCCCTTGGTAATTGCAGGATTGAAAGCAGCATCARATAACCCAAGGAAAGGAGGCTCATGCAGTAATGCCAAAGTGCTTCCCCAACAGCTGCCAAATCTCTTGWCAGCTTCCCAATCTTTCAGAAAAGAGTGTGCAATAATATGCCAGRTTTTGTGAAAGCAATGCGCCAGTTGATGAAGGAAAGCTTCACTTGGAGAGGCACTGATCAGTAACAGTTCCAGTTCTCCCTCTCAGTAAAGACTTGCAATTCCTCAAGAAGTTATATATTTGTCTAAAACCACATCTCCTTTACGTGCTATAATTATTTCCTCCTCCCCTACTTCTTGCTTACACAGGAGTTCTGTCTACTCAGCTGAGTGAACTTGAGGCCAGCTGGTATCCYCACTGGTGGGTTCACTCACCAGTCCCAAAGACATCAGAATTTCTGGCTACATACAATCTCTAGCCCACACTGACAACATTCCGGTACCACASATAAGCACAAAAGAGGAATATTACTTTCCTTCTGCTGCCACACTTTTCTAGGTCTTGCACACCTCGGAGTAACCCTTACTTACAACACAGTGGTACTTAAACATAAATTATACTAATTCCATACTTTATATGAATACTTGGTTTAGCAATTAGTCTTCTAATAGACCCCACAGACTGGTACTGCTCATTTTGGTCAGTGCAAAAACCTAAGACTAAAATCAAAATCCTATAACCTATAAACACATTTCCAGAAAAAGAAAAGCAACTTGCCAATTTCACCTTCAAGAATAGGTTACATACCCAGAATGCAGACAAGACTGCATTTGCCAACCAAAAACATAGACAAAATCACATATCCCTCTCTTTACAAATATTTTAGAATCACACAATTKTGGAAGAGAAAACAAGAATCACCTTAGACTCCAGAGGAAGTCCCTAAGCCATCTGTACTAAAAGACCTTTTATTCAAATGCCTCATTCTGTCCTGGAAGATCTACAAGTCTGACTAACAACTTACTCTTGTCAACAAAATACAATCATATTCCATGCCATATAAAAGCACTGTACTGGTCCAAAGAATTATAATCAGAACAAGGTTCAGGGTTCTCACCCCAAATAAATCATCAACTCAGAACCCCCGAACATCTGGGCATTTCAACTGAAATACAGGCAAGTTGTTCTTTCAGACAAGGCAAAAAGATCTCACATTATTATCTCCAGAGGGCTGCTGAGAACCCTGTCTTAGCTGACATCTGGCAAAAGAAACCCTCTAAGTTTGATGGAGATCAAAAAATGAAACTGGGATGAGAAGCTGATTCAGCCACACTTACTTTCCTCACAATAGGCTGCTGCCCGTCTATGCAGCCATACCATGCTACTAGTTTGTTCCAGGCTTCGGTGGGCACCAACACGTAATCCAGCTCATCAATCAGGTGTTCTTTTAAACTCTGAGTTTCTGGATCTAAAAGGGAAACAGACGTCAGAGAGCACGGCATGTAACAGCACCTTTYCTTCTCCAGACCCACACACGTATTGCCCGGACTCCAGAAAACACCAGGGCAKGCAGAGCCCGGCCAATCCCCTCACGAACAGGGCGGTGCGGCCGCGGGCCCTCTCCACACCCGGCTCCGAAAGCGAAAGCAGCCGCGGGGAAGTTCCGCAGCGGAGCCCGAGCCGCGGCCCCGCAGCACTCACCGCCGAACAGGCCCGAGTTGTCGATGGGCCCCGGGAACAGGCCCGCGTTGTCGACGGGGCCCGGAAAGAGGTTGGGATCGCCGGCGCCGAACATGTCCCAGCTGTCGAAGCCCACATACTTCTTCCACTGCTTGAACCACCGGCTCTCCACCAGGTACCTGCAACACACGGCACCGCCCGGCGCGGCCCCTCAGCGGCGGCGCGGCCCGGCCCGCAGGCCCCGCCGCCCGCAGGAGAGGGGGACGGGGAGGGAGGGGAGGCGCGGGTGTGCTCACCAGGACTCGCCGGGCCGGAGGGCCGTGGCCAGGAGCGGCCCCAGTTCCGCCCGCTGCTCCGCCGGCTCCGGCCGGCTCCGTTCGCCGCTGGCCGCGGCCGCCGCCATGTCCATGCGCGAGACCCGGCGCGGGCGGAGGTCGGAGCGCGCGCGAGCGCGCGGGCGGGCACGCGCTGGGCGAGTGGGAGGGACCCGCCCCGCCCGCGCGCGCCCATGACGGGGTGGGCGGGGCTGCGCGCGCCATGGCGGCGGCCGCCATCTTGCGSTGGCTCCGTGAGGGCGCTTGGCGGGCGGTGGCTSCTGTGGCGGTGAGCGTCCGCCCGGGCCTGGCCCGGAGCTCCGGAGAGCGCACGGGCATCGCGGGGAGCAGGAGGACTCACCACCACCTTTTTCCCGAGGGGGCTTTGTGGGCGAGAGGGCTGCCGGGACGGCCTCTTATAAGTCCTTAAATAGAAACACCTGTGCCAACATTGTTGCTTAATGCCTCTGCAGCAGCACCAGCCCAGCCTTCCCCAAACCTGCTTAGGGTGGCTGGTGACAGCCCACTGCTCTGGCCTCCACACACCACTTTCTCATCAAGAATCTTGTCCCCGAACTATGATGTAATGAAGATCAGACTGAAAACTTTAGTTCTCCATAAACATTTTGTCTCTCTCAGGGCAGCCTCTGACAAAACAGGTGCCAGAACCATTTGGCTGGACTGTGGTTTCAGTTTTAGGCCTCATTTTCTCGTGTGAAGCGCACTGGTCAGGATGTTGGACTTCAAATTATTATGTGGCTAAATGGAGAGAACAGGTCTGTGTGACCGATTGGGGAGTGCTCAGGAGCTTGGGAATTGTCTCAGGAGAGAACTGCCCAAGGAGAGCATTGATCCCTCAAATAGCACATCCTGTGCTGTTCAGGGAGCCTGTCCTTTGGGAGTCAGGGGATTGGGAAGGATTCAAATAAAGATTCAGACTTAAAAGCCTGCCTTAAACGGATGCACCGAAGAAATCCCTTTACCTTATGTGAAAAAAGGCAGGGGTGATTGGGGGTGCTGTGACTGCCTGCGCCAGGAGCGTTCTGGCAGCACCGTGGGCAGGTGGTCTCTGCCAGCCTGGCACTGCTGCAGCAACCAGGGTAACATGATAAAAGCCTTTTATCTTCCTGACAGCAGGGTAAGTCCATTCACTCAACACTGAAATAATCATTTTCCCCTTCCCGTAAGAGCTGAGTGTTGTTACTTCAGTTCTTCTGAGAGGGCAGGGCCCCTTCGGGCTCTAACACACCCTATTTTGGCAAGGCTGGGTGTGTTTTTAAAATGAGTCAGCTATTCTGAGATAGTGCTTGTGCTGCTSACCTCACTCTGCTAATGAATTACCAATTCCTCATAGAAAGTGTRGTAAACAATTAAATGGCTTAATGTAGGCCTTTCTGATTCAGTGCAAGGAAATTACATTGTTACAGTTTCACTGTAGACAAGGGGTGTCTGTTCTCATGTCACCTCAAGCACTTTGCTTTCAGCCATTGGCTTCCTGCTCTGGCCTCTAGCTCATCCCAGTGGGTGTGAGTGGCACTGACAAGAGCAAAGCCCCCTCAAGTACCACACGGCTGGAGGCAGGAGTTCCCCACCTGCCTCACCRTGGCAATGATCAAACACAGTGAATGAAAGCTGTGCAGGAGAAAGGGAATTTAAATAGCCAAAAGAACCCTGAATAGGCTGAGTAAGACAGGTCTCAGACTCGGGCTGATGGCACCTCTGTTGCATAGACACTTCTGAGCACCACACCTCATTAGCCAGGATTTCAGCAGATAGTCCAGGGTTTGGTGGACAGAACACTAGGGAATCTGGGAGAGGGAGAYAGAGCCAGGAAGGAAAATTTTCCTTGGAACTAGTTAACACTTCTGACAGCTTYAAATATTTGAACTTGGTTAAAGATTTAAGAAGTTGGCAGCAACTATCAGCAACTAAAGGAGGGAAGAAATAAATCACTGGCAGCAGGGAGAAGTGGGGGACAAACACYTTCTGGAAGGGAGAGAATATACAGGACTTTGATGTGCAGAAGAATTGGAAAGCAGGAACACTAACAGAGGGATTAAGTGTTTGCAATTTAAGTCTACAAGTAGGAAAAAAAAGTGTAGGAGTGTAGATGTGACAGACGGGAGATGTTGAAAGGACAACATCCTCAAGCCACAGAAGCATCCAATTGTGCTAAAGTAGTATTTATTTTAAGGTTTCCCTCTGAGTCAGTCTGTTTCTTGCTGGAATTACAGAAATTACAGAAATAGAACTGGGCTGGTTTACAATCCCTGAAGAATCGCCTGGGATTCATCATGTCTCCCCTCAGCRCAGAGCTGCTGCCTGTGGTGAAATGTTCACCTCCTCTCATCAACACCAGCCAAGGTYTAGCTGTGGGATCCTGTGTGGGGGCCGTGCCCCACTGTCCCTGTCCCTGCCAGAGGGTCCAGCCCGCACCCTCTGTGCCACAGCCCGCTGGAGCCTGGAGCCAGCTACTCCAGGAAGTGCTGAAACAAGACCGGGAATAACAAGGCTGGACAGCTTTCAGCCGTGCTGCAGAGTTCCTGCTGGTGTGCTTACACTGGGATTGTTCATTTTCCTGCTGGCATGGCTCATTTTTGTCCCAGAATCACGTCACTGTACTGCTTCTGGCACGGCTGGAGCTGTTCTGGAGCTGTTGCTTTGTTTTTCTGCTAGCACAGCCCCAGTAGACAGAAGGTAAATAAATCCCTTGGCCATAGGYACAGAATAAGCACAGTCCAAGGTGCCTTTCTGACCAGCAGGCTTGGTGAGAGACTCTTTTTGGCAGGGTGGGACAGCAGCAGGTGCTGGGGTCTGCTCCTTGTGGCTGTGGGGCTTGGCCAGAGCCAGAGACTGGTGAGGAACAAAGGAGGCCCCACTTAAAACAGCTCAAGTTCSGTGAGTCAGGAATGAGGAAGTGCCACAACTCACATGGAGAAAGATTTTTCAGTACCCTGAGTTCCTGCTGCTCATGATCCTCCACGTATTTCAACATCCTGCACTAATGGGGGAAGTAGATCTAACTGAAAAAATAATCCCCTACACCATGCATCATCTGCTGCAAAGCTTAAATAGCTGCTGAAAACATCCTGTTTTTTTCTATGAAGCTGTGCTGGGATTTAAGAAATAGCCCGGTGAGGATTGTGCAATCTGAGTTCAAAGCTCGATGACTCAGGGGTAGCAGCAAGCAGTATGGTGCTGGCTGGAGAATTTACCCAGTTTCTCCTCAGACTTCAGGGGCCCTTAGACATAGATACAGTAACAAAGTAACTGAAGAAATGAAAACGTAAAAACAGAAAAAAAAAAAAACCAAAAAAAACAAATCAAACCCTCAAATCCCTAGTGTTTTTATTATGAAAACAGTGCCCTAATGCTTGAAAACGTTACGCCTTCCCTTGGAGAGCCCAAGTTTCTACTCWGGGTTAGGACTCCTCAGGCCTACACCAAGTTTATAGTCAATGCTATGAAGCCTTGTGAGGAATGGCTTGCAAGGAAAATGTGCTCAGGGAGCCATTTAAGGAGCGAAAATTTTCCTGTAGAAGGAGTTGAGCTACTGGGCAGAAGGCTTGCAGGTGAAATTTGGCTCAGGGACATGATTTCCCATGGGAAACCAATCCTAATCCCAGCCATTTAGCAGCAGCCTGTAAAACCAGGATTGCTGAGCAGGGACAATGTCAGAACTGAATCACAAAATCATTAGGATTGGGAAAGACCTCTAAGATCATCCGGTCCGATTGTAGCAACTTCTCATAAAATACCTCTCACCTCCATGGTTGGCAGGAGACTAAAACTGTCAGGGAAGAAGTGAAAAAAAAAATTCTTGGCACACCTGCACTTGGGAGTGTCATATGCAATTCCTGTGCCCAAAAGGCAACAAGGACACTCTGAGGCAAGGCACAGTTTCCATGGGACAAGTGGTTGAATGGGGTGGTGTTGCACTGGGAACATGAACGAACTGGTTTGTCATGTGATTCCCTTCATTGTGAGGTGCTKGGGATGCACAAAGGTGCTTCACATCTTATGGAGGACTGCGCAAATGCATAGGGATCTGTGCTGGGCCACCCCTGATGCAAAATGGGGTAAAACCAGGAGACAGCTAAGTCAGTGATGGGCAGTGGCTCTGGGACAAGAGCAGGGACAGTGGCTGCTGTTCCCATCCTAGGCCCCCCCAGGCTGCAGGAACACTCATCTCCCTGCCCAGCAGTTATTAGCCTGTTGTGGCCTGTTGCTGGTAGCTACCCTGAGAGTTCATCAGCCAGTGTAAAATCACCCCCTGGCCATGTGCCACCGTGCTGCCTCTGCAGGGAAGCCTTAAGGGAGATCCAGTGAGCACTGGGGCAGTCTGTCTGTTCTGTGCAGCCCTCCTGCTCTGCCAGGGGGGCAGGACACCCTACTGACTGTCAGCTTGCAGAGCTCATGCCCTTGCTTTAGTTCAGCCTGACTGCACTGCTCGAGTGCTTGAAGTGTGCCCCTGGGAGCACCCACAAGGGCTGATGAACAGGTAACACACCCACCATGTTTCACCCAACCCGCTCAGATTTATCAAGCCACAGCCTTAAAGAAAGTATACATTTTTTATTTAGAGAATCACAGTAAGCTACTGAGACTCACAGCTGATTGCCCTGGCATAGTTTCCCAAACATTCCCATGCAACTTTTGAAAACATCARGTACACTTCAAGGATTTGGAAGATGTACCATCATAAGCAAAACCTGCACGAGACATTGGGATTTCTGCCAAAGCAGCAGCTCCCTGCAAGAAAAAAGGCAGGTGCATAGCAAGGGGAAAGGGCAGAGAATTTTCTAGGGAACCTTCTGCAGAAGCAACTCAATGTCGTCCTGGATCTTGATGGTTTCGAAACTGCGGCTGTAGCGTTTGAAGGGCACGCCGTCGGGGCCGATGAGGAACTTCTCAAAGTTCCAGGCGATGTCGTTGCGGCAGACGGGGGACCAGATGATGTACTGCGGGTTGGTCATCAGCGAGGACGGGTCATCGTGCGGGAAGGGCAACGCCTCTTTCAGGAAAGTGAAGACGGGGTGTGCGTTCTTCCCGTTCACTTCGCACTTCTCGAACATGATGAAATTTGGCTTGTACCCGTTGCCAGGACGAACGTGCTCGAGCATGGGAAGG